CGATTAAAACAAAGCACTTGGCACCGATCACAAAATTATGTTTGAATTCATTACTTTCGTTAAAATAATATCACTGTTAAATCATGTCATTGGAAAGTTTCCTCTTCTAATGTTCATTTGGGAGTATTCCCTTAAGGTGGAAGGTTATGTTAACCTTTCAGACGCCTTCGCGTCGAGAAATTATAAAACTGATATAAAATCCAATATTTATCAGTCGTAACCCAGACATATTGGCCATGTGGATAATGAGAACAGTATTTAAGTGGTACTTATCAAGCCCTTCGGCCTGAATCGAAAACGAAACACTTTCTTTTTACGAAACTAGGATATACACTTCGACTATTAGTCCAACGAAACATCGCAACAGTCACTTTGCATAATTCCATACATATTATTTTGAAGTATCCATCGTATCACATGTTCATCTTTGACGTTCGTTGCGTTACCTGTTTACAAGTACTGCCCTCATATCCATTTTGAATCACTATTAAGGTAGTTTTTAAAGAGTTAGCGCAAATATGACTGATAAACCATTGTTCTTGTTTCTAATTTGGTCATCGAATGAAGTCAAATCATAATGAAACTCGTATCATATCTCAGCCCAACCGATCACATTCGGTGCCCACTTTGACATTTGTTAGTCATGCACCCTCGTCACGTATGTTTAGCGACCATTCGTTTTCGGAACAAATTCACTTCCGATTCGGCAAAGGGCAAAAAAACTGTAAAATCATTCAAAAAGTGGCTCACACGCGATTATTTGTCATATTATTTTCCGTGGAACACTGACACATTTGACGTCACCGCACTGTTATCGGACACTTTCGGGCATCGATTGCTCGCGGAGCACCCCGCGCGTTCGCGAAACATTATCGTTCGGCCGAAATAAATAAACCGCGGCTGTTAGAGACCATCGCATATGATCCGTGCCGTGCGTCCCTTGTGTTCTGGTGTACGTTTCGAACGGAGATAGTTTTTATTCTCTCTCCATTTAGTCATTCATGCGGACTTAATAAATAATACTATGCGTTGAAATCGCGACCAATAGCGACTGTTATTCGGGCTGACGTCACGCATCGTCGGGGAGAGCCGTATTGATTAGCGAGGCGTCATTGTGGGAAAGGTGGCGCTCTTCCTAACAAACTACCCCTTAGTTCCTGAGCGCGTCGGATGATGACACCAGGATACGGCCGAGCTACCCTCGCAGTAGAGAATTACGTTCGGAAACCGTTAATTCAAACTAAATAGAATGAACTAAATCACACAGGACTTCAGTGGTACCCCTACCACTTATTATACTTGTTTATCTATTACCCCGACCTACGAGGTTAATTTATTCCATAAATACATTCGTATGTGGAAGCATATTTATAAATGATTTTTTTTTAAGTTTTTTGAATATTGAAAATAAATTTACTATTCGTTAACCCTTTCGCTGCGGATGTCGTTCCTGGACGACATCCACATGACACGCTGTGTGTACGGATGTCGTTCCTGGTCTCTAGTCTTATATTGTAACTTCTAGTTCATTAAAAACATAATTTTTAATTTTTCAGCACATTTTTAGTGATAATCATAGAAATATCTTAAAATATATCGTTATGTCTGTCCATTCAGTGTCAGTTTAAGGGGGTATTCTAGTGTAGAGCGCTGAATTTTAAAGCAATGAATGTTATTACTATCCATTTTTTACCACTTGTTTATTAATATTATTAAAATATAAAACAAAAATAAAAAAGTTGAAAATTGTGAATACTGGCAGCTGATGAAGTGGGTGGTCTCAAAAAATTGGCACCTCAGTCTTGACATGATTTCAACCCTGCTAGCCATCGGAATTGCAAAAAATAGGAAGATTATTAATCTACAATGATCTCGCAATCGCCCGAACTAGCGATGAGTAAAAATATTTTTTTTTACAAATTGGCGACTGTTTGAAAAAAAAAGTGTTTTTTACTGTTTTTTTGAGTTTCTGGAATTTTTTAAAAATAGTAAAAATTTGAATTTGGGGATAATCCTAGTTCGGGCTATAGATAGGTCTATAAACAAGACTCTCTGAACATTTCGAATAAATCGGTCGATTAAAACTTGAGAAATCGTGTCAACAGTACTGAAAAGTCTGTTCTGAAAAAAAAAACGCATTTAAAGTTTTGTGTGAAGTAGAGGTGGGTCGTTGACGGTTTTGCCGTCAACGAAACGAAACGGTTATCGGGGTTTCGTCAACTAGTTAAATAACTAGTTATTTTCAACTATAGTTATTTTTACGATTCAACGCTGGCAACGTTAAGAACTGATAGTTGAAATAACTGTTTCATTGAAAGTTGGTAATATGAAGTTTGTTCTTATAAAAGTCAAGTTGACGTTGGATTTGATGAATAAAAAGAAATAAATGTGAATTGTCACATTTATTACACACACACACACACACACACACACACATATATATATATATATATATATATATATATATATAATAAAGGTTTAATTTAAAAAACTTAAATATTTTCATTACAGCAAAGCCATATACTAAAACATCGAATTTACATGTTATATAAAAATAGCAATATAAAAATGTATAGTTATATAAAATGTTATGAAAAATAAAAAATCAATTTTCAGGTTTAGTTTAAAAAAATTATTACAAGACAAATGCTATGAGATTTTTATGAAAAATATTAACCATTGAAAACTATAACAAATGTAACTGATTTTCTAAAATTAAACGATTTGGCGCGTGTTGCAAGTTTCTTTTAAGATGTACATGTACATTTGCTATATTATAAAAGCAGTAGCCCAGCAATAAGCGATTTTCATAGTATTAGTTGATCCTTTCCGACGCAGGTACCTGCCTACGTTCGTTTTCGACAACGAACGAATTCCTATATCGTTGAAAAAACTAACTGGCCGCCATGTTTTCAACTGCTTCGAAACCAGTTGATTTTCAACTAGTTATTTCGTTGCGACGAAACGGTTAGTTAGTTAACGAAGAAGAAACGGTTGAAAATAACCGTTCGTTGATTCAACGCCCATCACTAGTGTGAAGCCAAACCAGTATGGAGACCGAGTCAGTAAAATGCCTATATCTCCGAAAATAATTCAAATTTTCAAAAACCTTCTCGTACCCACATTCTTAGATAGTTAAACTTTGAAAATGTGAAATAAAAAAAATCGTTTTTTTAATTCCTACACTAGAATACTCCCTTAAGAGACATGGCCCTTTTCTTTGGACCCATGCTTATAAAAGTAAATAATATTTTGTATGTTTAAAAAGCAAAAAAGACAAATCCAACATATATAATTGTACAATAACTATTAATGTGTAGTTAAAATTTGAAACTTCGAAATAATCCTTGATGTATTCGTGTGGGCAAATTTTTACTACAAAACTAATAATAATATTTATATGAAATTTCTAACTCTAAAGTTATTAACTATCCTAAGACAGCCAAAATATTTCTGTGGTAGGACAATCATCGTTACAACTGACAAATTTTTTCATATTTTCCCCTTAAGAGAGAAAACCCTTACTCCCTCAAAGCTCACATCTCGAATTTTGCTCGTATGTCGAAGCTACGAAACACTTCTTTAGCGGCTCTTTTCTCGAAACACTCGTATTAGCAGTACACAGCACTACTGTATCAGCAAAAATTATATAGTATTTTTGTTTAAATTGACGTGTTTGTACCTGAGAATCACAAAAGAATCTTGGAGCATTTCCAAAATTGGTTAGAAAACCTATCAACTTATTTAATAAGTCTTATTATGAAGAGTCTTCTTCATTAATAAACGAGATTCCTAACTGATGTTTTAAACAAGTTTAGAATTTTTAAAATCTATTTGGCTTCCGAAGAATCGGCAAATTTCATCGTTAACAGTTATTTGCAATGAATCGCAAAACTAATAAACAATTTTCAACATACACACCCACGTGTATTTTCCATTTTTTGTGCCAAAGTTCATAAGTTTTGCAGAAAATCAAAGTATTTACGGTGTAAAATAGAACAATACATTTATCGCAAAATCTTTAAGTAATAATTAAGTAAGTATTTATGAGAGGAATCCAGATAGTATTATTAGTTCTTCTATATAAAAAAATATGAATCTGAAATCTGCAATCGTACCGCCATTAAAGAGAAAAATATTCCAGCGAACAGCTATGTCAAATAAGAACAAATTTCATTAGTTTATAAGGATATGTTTAATATTTAATTTATGTACATTATGGCACAGTATGTTGCCTATAATTAAATAATTTACTCCTTAAAGATAAAACTGTACATTATTAATATGTTTTATTACTAAAAAATGTCATAAAATGTATTAATTGTGGTCTATGTCTATGGTGCGTCTTTTACAATAATAATTTAATTAAGACTAGAGACAATTTTCTTTATATGTATGTGTGTGTTTTATATATTTATTTATTTGTATATTTATGATGCTGAGTTTTTCCTTTATCAAAAAAATTAATAAGTCAAAATGGACTGTATTATTCAAATGATTAGTTCTTGCGCCCGTTTTTAAAATTACATTTCACATAATAAATTATAGAATATTCAAGTACAAAATCTATAAAATATAGCTGCTAAAGATGACAATTCCGCTTAAAGACAATCCTAAAAATTTAATGTTCTTTTTTAAGTATTAATACGAGTATAAAACTTAGATTTTAATAATATTCATCGTAAAAGTTACATCGTTTTAATCACACTATAACTTCTTCACCCAAATCCAACTAAATATTTTTAATCATATAAATTAAAATTTATTATTGGTTATGTAACCGTTTTGTTCGTGTATTTCATATTAGTCAATTTTGCAATAAACGAATCGCAAATGTCTTTTGTAAAAAGAAAACTTATATAATAATAAGATACAAAATAAAATTGATGATCCGCCAAGATATACATCTATAAATTATGCAGTAAAACCACATTTATTAGTTATTCAAAATAGTTTTATCATAAAATTTGTTATATAGATAAAATTATTCTAAAATATCTAGTCCATTCTTCATTCATTTCGCAGTATATATACTCACCTATAAAATAACATAATAAATACATATTGCTGACAATGGTATCACGATGCTTCATAAATAAATATTTTGATAAATTAATATTTCACAAAGTAATTATACTTACATAACTTCAGTCCTCAAAATGTGTCTATAAAAAATTAAATAAATTTGAAACATTTTTGTTTGTCATGTGGTATTCTTGTCTTAAATAGAATAGAATCGGCACGATATTGCGTATTTAGCAACGGCATATATCCAAAAACCTACAACAAATATATTACTACTAATTGGACACAAATTAATAAAGCTTATTATTACATGATTATTAAATACCTTAGTGAAAAAATTTATGCATTTATGTCTTTCTTGAAAATGCAAAGAACTATCAGACAATGAATCTAAACATCCAGGGCAACGGAATGTCCATCTTGAAGTCACCTATGCGAATTTCAGTTAAGAGTTATTTTATGTGCGATTTTGTTGAACTTCTCAACAACGCAATACATTCAATGAACGTAATAAAATTATAATAATAATTCTAATAATTAATGTAATAGATTATCTAATAAAACCATACATTCATTTGCCATCGATAATAACGTATGCTAAATTATATATTTGCGTATGTATCCGAAAATTTGTAAAATAGTTCTTTCAATTTGAGTATTAACATATAATAAATTCTACGAAAATCGCCGATTTAAATACCGATAAATATTACAAAAGTATTATAATCATATTTTATTGTTCAACCTGAATATATGCTAACCTTAACAGGAGGTGCTCGAGTAATATGTGATACGAGAAAATTCATTGCAATGTCTTCACAATTCATATACTCATCCACCATATCTCGAATTGCTTGTGGCATCCAATTCCAATACATAAATAAATAATATTTGTGAACAAAAGCAGCACCTGAAAAATAAAATTTGAAATTTAAATCTTGAACTTTTAATAAAACCTATACCTCAAATAAAATATCAAATTACCTGTTAAAACCATGCTCAGTTCACAACTATAGTTTGTATTATATAGCCAACCGTTATTATTGTTTAAGTCCCATGCATGAAATCTTCCAGGAAAACCAACAACTTTATCTCTGTGTTCTCTCCAAACACGAAAACCAAAAATGATTTCATCTTGTCTGATCGCAGTATCATCATCAACAGACAAAACGGCTTCAGTCTCAATTTCTTCGAATGGCAGAAAACGATTGTTCAAGGAGTTCTTGGTGGTTTTTGCAAACTATAAAATAAATGAATCAGATAAATAATTTATATTTTAAACCAATTATATTATATTTTATTACATGTATAGGAACTCCTATATCTGGCCATCTCAGTTCTTCCTGCGGCGGCTTTGGACTGTTCCATACCACAATTACTTTATTCAAATAAGGCAAGCCATCCAGTCTATTAAGAGAACTGATTAATATCTGTTCTCTTTCATAAGTGAGGATTACTATGGTAAACTGTTCTCGAGGATGATTCCCTCCAAGCGATTCACAAAATTCTTTTCCTGCACCTCCAGCTCCTTTCCCAATTGGCCGATAGCCTAAATTGGATCCTGAAATATATTAAAGATTAAAATCTAAAAACGTAAATGACCAAATCGATTTTCTGGTAAACCTTCTCATTTGGGATGCTAAATATAAAGTCAACTTAAAAATAAGTGTAAAACTATATCTCACCTATAAATTTCGCATCTGATGGCAAAACAGGATCGAATGGAATTTGTGGATATAAATTGAATGGATCGCCCCAAACATTCCACATTTCATATTCTTGTGTTAACATAACTGTATAATTTCTTGTATAACTAGGACTAGGATGTGGAGGCTCAATTGGTCCTAAAGATTCCTTATTTTCAGGATCAGATTCCACTGGTGCTATTTTTATAGGAGTAAAACTAGAATTAAAAACACTAACACTGGGTACACTCGAAATGGGCTTGGCTGGAATCCCTAATCTATTTCTTATAACAGCTATTATAGTGTCTACAGTTACTTGAACTTAAAAATATCTCTCCCAAACCATTCGCCCCTGTCGTCTCATCGACAGCAAATCACCATCAGGAATTGCTCTTAAAAGAAAATGCAACTCGGTAACCCGTACTTTAGGTACTAAAAGTACACATTTTTTCCAGTCAACAAATTCAGCAAATGGCAGAGTTATTTGATCCCCGCCTAGTATCACAGGTATAGCACCGGAACGAAGAGCTTCATACAACCTAGCTTGCAGTAATGTTGTAGAAATATATTCTATATTCCCAGGTGCAAAAATTAATACAAATGTTGAGTCTTTTAATATATTTCTTCTGGAAGAATCTGTACCACATAATGACCAATCTTTAATTGGTACCACCGTTTTTTGTCTGTTGCAGGAATGCATTCAAATTCAAACAAAAATTTATCTGATGTAGTTCCAGTAGTTATATGATGTAATTGTTTTAAAATGAAACTATCTATGGATGAACTATCAACAAGTCCTAAATTTTCATCAGAAAGTAGTGATTCATCATCTCTATTTTCAATATTATGTGTTTGTGTATCAGCCTTTACTGGCTTTAGTTCTCCTTGAAAACTCAATAAATATTTTCTCCTTGCTGGCACAATTGGAGTACATTCTTGCCAAACATCACCTCCTGGTGGTCCAAGAAGTGGTGCAATGACCAAATCAAAGTTCGGTCTGAATTTCAACACAGTAAATGTAGACTGAACTATTATGGCCCGGCCTGTGTTAAAATTTTTAAAAACATTTCCCGATCCAATGCTTAAATCTCTCCTGGCAAAATTTAATAAAACATGATTGCGCCCATCAGCTCCCCAGTAAGGTAATTTATATAGCAAATTAATATCTAATGATGTTTCTTTATATGTACGATTATTTGAATTATTTTCATATTCTGAAGGATTTTTAAAAGCTTCACCAACTAACACTAAATATAAACATGCTTCTTTAGGTTCTTGAGTTAAATGAGCATTGTAGCCTAAAGTTTGTTTTATTGTAGTTTTCAAAAATCCATCAACGTCATAGTCTTTTGAGACAACTGTGTATGTATCCGGATCATAAAGATATACTGGTAAACCGGACGTCAGTGAACAGCGAGAATGGTCAAAACATGTAAACATTTTGCAGGGCATAGAGTGACTATTTGGTGGTGACATTGGTTCAGGTATATACCATGGTAATAATGGCTTTGGTAATTTTAATTGTGGAGTGTTTCTTAAAGCTGCTTCTTGTTGCGCCACCTGAGCCTGAGAAATAAAAAATAAAGGATAAAAAAATCTATATACACTATAAGAAAACTTTAACATTTCAATTTTTGATGTAAAACTTCTTTGGGCGCGACTAGAAAGTAATTCTGTAAAAATACAACGGAAGTTCCTTTACACCCGAACTGTTCGTCATTCGGTCTCGATGAAATCATTTTTATACAGGTCGACTGTGAATAGTGGTCGTGTATGTGAATAGAGATCTGTCGTTGTATGCGTACCGATATCAACAAGAAAATCGGCATAGATAAATAAACATTTTAAAGTTACATCGTAGTACAAATCTTGATTTAATGAAAAATGCCTGAATCAGAAGAATATTTTACCCTGTTCTTTAAAAATAATAAAACAAATTAAACATTTGTGCCGTGTACTAAACGCAAGTATATTGATTAGAAATTATTTTTATATTATTCGTAGTTTCTATAAATCTTTGAACTTATTGAAATGGATGATATTTTTTAATCAAGACAGATATTACACCTGTTCAAAGAATGAGATTATATCGCCAGCGAAAAAGTAAAAAAAAATAACATCAGTCAATGAATTTATGTTAATTTCAATTACATGAAGTTCTTCAAACACAATTATTACATGATGAGTGAAGTTGGGAAAACAATATTTGTTTAACGTAATCCACTGTGTGAACAAATATTATAGAAGTTATTAATCAGCAATTACTTCATTTCTCTGATGAAGGTTCATTTCTAAATGCTAATTACAATGACAAACCGATCATGTCATATTTGAAGTATGACTTTAAATATATTATTGTTTTTAAATATTATACATGTTTTTAATGCTATTATAAATATATAATTTATATTTTATCAATATATAAATGTGTATAATGGTTGACACTAATAAATGTGTGCATCACGAGTGTTACCATATTACTAATAAACATTATTCAAAATTGTTGTATGATGTTTTTATTTTTACTTAAATGCCATCTTGTACAGTAGCAAATAAGTTTTACTTCAATCGCGTGTGAACCTGACGAGCCCTTTTTTTATGTAATTTTATACTAAATTGGCTAACATTCTCAAAATATTCTATCAACATACTTGTTCAAGTGATATTTTCAGTCTTTCCATCTCTGCCTGCTGCCTTTGTAACTCCTGCTTTAAAATCTTAATTTTATTTCCATATTCTACTACATCCATTTGTAATTGTTGTTTTCTTGATTCCAGTACTCGTAATTCTGAAGATACAGTACCCTGCCATAAAAAATAATTATTATCCGAAATATAAAAATGTATATAATAGTGAGTAATGGTAATGAAATAGTAATGGTAATAATAAAGAAAGGAGGGAACGAGAATCATTGATTTATAATGACCTCATGGCCTTTGGGCAAAAGAACCATTTAATTTTATTATTCGAAATATATTCTATTACCTTTATTCGTAACATTTCATCAATCCTCTGTTTCAGGTCAGATGGCTTAAATGTGTTATAAAGATCAAATTCATCGACTTCAATTTTGCTAAATCTACTAATTCCAGTAGCATTTTTTGAGTCAACCTGGAAAATAGGTCAATCATTGGTTAATGTATTAAATTAGACAAGTTTAATAAACCTATTTAATATGATGAATTGCATGTTCTTCGAGCAAAAATCAATGATATATATTATGTAAGTTGGTATAAAAGGATCTTTACCTTTGATAGGAAATAATGTGTAATCAATGGTACTATTAATAAGAAAACTATCAGTAGAAATATTATCCTAGAAAGCTTCATTCTTCCGCAATAATGCCAAATATTATTTCTAGTAAAAGCACCATTTCCCACAGGATGGTATCCGGTAGCAGTTTCGTAAGAACTCATTTTTGATACTCAGACTAATATTAACTTTTCAAAAAATTTGACATTATTTATTTGGAAACCTTTTTTGTCGCCTATGTAAATATATAATTAGGGATATTTCTAAATTCATTGGTAAATGTGTCATATATCAACATCATTCATAAATTGTGATTATTTTTTTATTTTCAAGGAAACAAAAGCATGTTTCCTTCGACGATACATCGAATGCCATATTCATAGATCGACTACGATATAATATTTATGCAACCACAAGTTTTAAACATGTTTTTAAAATATATACAGTTTTAAACAAATTTAAATAAAATGTAAAACATTTTTTGACGTTTTCTTGTTAATAAACATTGACAGATGTTGACTCGTGACTCAGCGCCACGATGGAGTGGATAAATGTGGAACTATCACGTGAAACAAAATTGGCGCGGATTTTAAAAACTACTTTTGAATCTATGTACCAATCAATTGTAAATTTTGCTTATTATGCATGCTACTTTGGTAATAAAAACAAAATGAGATGAATGAATCAGAGAAAGTATGAATGTAAAAATAAATATAAGTAAAATTGAATAAACGAATGAATAATACATAATATAGCATCATTCATATAAAAGAATTCACATGATCTACAGGTATTTTGTATGATCTCTCATACAAAGGCCAACACTTTTGCCTGACTGATATATACAAAATATGTATTATAATTGAAAATAAAAAAAGAAATCATAAAAAACAGAGTCTATATTTATAGATGTTTGGACATCAATGAGAACATCTGCTCTTGTTTTATATATTTGCAGAAAGACTTCAACGAAGTCAAATGAGGCTCCTTATGGTAATATTGAAGATGATTTTCACTGTATGAAAAGATTGCACGTTGATCCAGGTAAAGGTAAAAATCCGATTGAATAAAGTCAATGGAAACCATGAAATCTGGTAAGAAGACACTGATATTGAATATTATTGATCCTGATCAATATGATAAGAAGAGTGACCTTATCAATGAGACATTAACAACTACTGGAACTTTTTGATTTATGGTTAAAAAAAATCACCACAATAATTGGTACCGTGGTATTATCAAAAACCGGTGCCTAATTACAAATTTAATAAATATAGATATCACCATGGACCAATCCAAGGTGATAGAATACCGATGAGGACATCAGGAACTTAAAGAAGCTGATCGATCCTGGTGAAGTACTTTAAATAAACATGGATACTATAAAGTATAATTAAATTATTTTTATGAAACTTATTTTCATATATCATTAAGTTATATATTACATAACGTTTTCATCGAAACATTCTGAAATAATACTGTGACATACATGATTTGAAGATTAAATTTTGATATATAGTATTGAGTAATTTATTTTTTATTACTTGTATAATTATTATTCCTGTATTGCATTTATCAAGAGATTTCAAAATTCATTTAAAAACATCTGTTGGTTTTTTAGTAGTCTGAATTATGAGACATCTATTGCTCATTTGGCTAGAGGTAAAACTCAAAGTGTTTTTAACAGATGGCAATATACACGAATAAAAGTAAATTCGTTAAAAATTTACATTGCCAAATTTGGATATAAAATCTTTGTAAAGTTAATATTAATTAAATTACAAAATTATTTTAAAAAATAATAAAACATAATTATGTTAACCCAAACTAGTAATTTCTGCAATTCATTAATTTTAAATGTGCAATGGTAAAAAATTATGAATTATAAAAAAATTTGAGAATTTTATTCTGGAGTATTATTAACCCTTCCCACTCGGGAATTCCGAAACTGATACGTATTTTGTCGCCAGAGCGGCGGCATCCTAGTGGAAAAGGTTAAAATACTTTAACAAGTAGCTTTAGAAATGTTTATATATAGTGCACGTTGTGAATAAGTCAAGAAGTTTTCTATATGGTCGTCAAATATGTATCACTAAAAATTAATAAACATTTTCATAATAATTTTAAATTCAAAAATGCTTATATATTCGATTTGACCATTCATTGCTTAAATAACTTATTGTATTCAATTAAATATCTACTACTCCCAGGATGATGAATGTACGAGTATTTTGTAAATATTCCAAGTCAATATTTTATATTACAAATTTTATTTACTCAAGATAAGAAACCCAAAATTATTCCTGCCGAACTACTATTGCTCATTTCTATAGCAAATAAAAAGATACTGAAACCTTAGAAAGGAAAATTTAGAAACTTTGTTAAAACTGTTTGATCGAAATTAACTATTTAGTAACTACTTAGAGAATTAATTTTGAAGATTATCGTTTTCTATATAAAAATTAGTTATATTTTCACATCTATTAAAATTTACAGGTAAGTACCACGTTCGTTCCAATTTCGATAATTTCTAATCTACCAAAGACCGGATAAAGTGTCCAATGCATCCGAATCAATTATCATTGGAATTTCACCTATTTCCTATATTTAGAATTCTTTCCTAGCAAATATGTAATAATATAAAATGATTGAACATTGGGAACTGGTCCACGAAGCTAGTATTTATATATAGCGATTGGAAATACAAATTCGTGTATGTCTCTATTTTTTTTTATTCTACGCAATTGATAGCATTCATAAAAAATGACTAATTAAATAAGATGAAGTTATGGTAAATTTTCTAACTTTTCCATTGCTCCTTTGGTTAGACGACAGAACATCCAGCCTTCTTTTTCAGTTAAGTTTGTGAAACCCATTTTTTCGTAAAATTTTCGAGCAGGGTTCCAGTCCAAAACATGAAGGTCTAATCTTGATGAACCTTCTCTCAAAGCAAGCTAAAAATCAAAATTATACATATCTTTTTAAAAAAAATTGAAAAATGATAAAATAGTAAATCGTTGTATTACCTTAGCCAAAAATTTGATCATATCCGTAGCTACGCCTTTGTTTCGATATTCTGGTTTAACATATAAATCTTCCAAAAATAGTGATTTTCCTTCCCAAGTTGAGTAAGATATAAATGTTAAAGCATAACAAATTGGTAGATTTTTGTTAGGATCTGATTGTTCCAAAGATTCAGCAATGAAACAACGAAATAGTGGCATATCTCCGAAACCATCTCTCTTTAAATCTAATTTTTATAAATTAATATAATATATAAGTAAAATAAATATAATATCTACATACTCTACAGTGTAGAGTCTACGCAATGACATGCATGACTCTATATATTTAGTATGTACTAAAATTTAATAGAATTCACCATACTAACCTTCAGCACTAATTTTGGGTCCATCGGGCATTTCTTCAAAATCTGCCAATTCCTTAATTTGTAATAATTAATTATATCAGTTCATATAAAATTATATATTCAGTGAATATTTTGTTCAATTTAATTTTAGTTTTATAATGAATTACAAGTTAAGAGTCACCTGTATCATATCTCGGACACTGTCCATATCTTCTGGTCTGGCCAATCTAATTCTAAATTTTTCCATTTTTAAAGTAGGTATTCACAATTTTTCTTGCAGGATTTTGTTTTATATTTGAAGTACTTTGAATTTTCTAGATAAAAAAAAATTAAAGAAAAAATAACAACTGCAGTTTGAAGATATATTCGCTAAACTATAGCTAGCAGTAAAGTTAAAAGCAAAAAATTGCAGCAAAATTATAATTTTTATTAAATATATGATTAAACTGCAATTATTATTATTGATTATACTGGCGACTAATTGGCTTTTATATTAATAATGTAATTAACTTAAATTCATGTATATATTAGATAATTTATATTAAATACTTAATATAAATGTTGCAGAAACTTATATCACTTATAGTAAAATATTGTATTGCATTGTAAATTTTAGTAAGCAATTATATAGTAAATTATGTATATAATTAATTAATTACGTAAATTTACAAAAAAAGAAATAATTCATTGATGATATTTTACTAATTAGAAATTCAATTTAAATTTATTTATTTATATCTTGTAATTACACATATTTTTATATTTTATATTGTAGTGCCTATTTATGAATAAAAAAAAATGGAATGAACATAAAAGTTTAAGAACTAAGCAGAAGACTATTTATGTGATTTATAAAAATGCAATTAGATATTTTTGCTTAGTTTATTAATTTTTTCTTAATTTTCCATACGATCTTAAATGAGATGTCAAAAAATAAAAAAAGGATATCTCATAGGACATAATCTTTTTAATTTCACTTACACCCAGCATATGTCTTAAAAAATTATATTGTTTTGATGGGCAATAATCTATGTAATTAAAAAAAAGTTTTTTAATTTAATTTAGTTTTGTTTAATGTGATGGTGAAGCAACTCTAATTATAGGTAAGTACAGCAACTTTACTTGGAAAACCTATATGAACTGTCGATGAAAGTTGTAGCATTTATAGCGATAT